TGAACCGCTGAACTGCTGATCTAGCAGTAGCCTGCAGTGTTGCATTTAACCACTGCGCCACCTTGGCTCTATGATTTGTCATATTTCTCACTAAGTTCTACGTGGTGAGGACCTTTCAAGTTATTCTGCCCTAAAGCTTTTCAGAAACAGTATGAATTTCTGTAATGTGTTCAGAATTATCTAATCATCTATGACAATAGCTATCAACACAATCCACACATCTTGTAAATTCACTGATATAATTATACTGTATATTAGGTGTTCTACTTCCTTTGGGCTATTCGCAATTGTATAGCCTGTACATACCTATACATTATAAACAATACACTGCTTAGTATACTTAACTACACCCCACTGAGTTCATCAATATGTGTATGTGACTGTTGATTTCCATTATCTTCTTTACTCTTTCTCTGGTTTTTGTTTCAGCTGGTCTCTTATATCACCTAACAGTGAAGGGCAGGGTTTTGATACTTCTACTTTTTCCATCCATTTCTTTCTTTACGTCCATTTCCAAGCCGTCATTGTTCTATTCTTTCCTGCTGAAGTTTCTGTACGTCCTAAATATAAATATTCTTTGGAAGGAAAAAAAAATCATTTTTAAAGCATGTTCTGTACATTCAAATATCTCGACCTTGTGATAAATAGAATAAAAGAATTATGGACTTGGTAAAGGACCATAAGGATCATCTAGACCAGAGTTTCTCAACCTTGGCGACTTTAAGTCCTGTGGACTTCAACTCCGAGAATCCTCCAGCCAGCTGGCTGGGGAATTCGGGGAGTTGAAGTCCATAGGACTTAAAGTCGCCAAGGTTGAGAAACACTGATCTAGACCAAACGCCTGCAATTACAGGCATACAGGTTAAATCCCCCTTTAGTGGTGGCCATCCAGACCCATAAAAAGATGCAGAGATGGAGAAGCCATAATCTGTAGATAGACTGTTCCCCTATTACACAGATTCTATCATTAGGAGTTCTTTATTTACATATAAATGAAATGTAGCTAATTGCAACTCATGGCCATTATATTTAGTCCTAATTTTTGTGACAGTGAGAAATAGCTCTCGACCATCTTCTAAATAGTACCCATTTATTAGCTGGACGCTGATACTATATCCCCATTTAGCCTTCTTTCTTCAGATTAAATATCCCAAGTTCCTTCACCCTGTTCTCACAGCTCACGTCCTCAAGTTCCGTATCAATTTTATCACCATCTTCTGAATCT